CCAATGCTTATCCCTACACCTATCTTAGAGGTCTCATCTCAACCCTGCCGCCACATCTCCCCTCTTCTCCCCATTCCATTATCAGGTGGCTCAGAACATCACGATCAATGAGATGGCCAACGCCCATCGCTACGCCTACCTGAGAGGTCTCAACCCGACCGCCACTTCCCCCTCTTCCTCCCTCCTTCTCCATCCCCCTCCACCAACAGGTGGCTCAGAACATAACAACCAATGAAATGGCCAACGCTCATCACTACGCGTACCTGAGGGGCCCTGACGGGAAATACTTCAACCCATTCAACCACGGCTGCTATCTCAACTGCTGCTCGATCGCCCTCATGCCTTCTATGGTCCCTGCTCCTCCCATCCCCCTCCATTAACAGGTGGCCCAGAACATAACGACGAATGAAATGGCCAACGCTCATCGCTACGCGTACCTGAGGGGCCCCGACGGTAAATACTTCAACCCATTCAACCGCGGCTGCTACCAAAACTGCGCTGATTTCTGGACCACCGGGGAAACCACCGACACCGAAGGTTCCTGGAAGCCTCCTCCGCCGCCCGGCCCGTCAGGCGCGTTTTTCCGGCGGATTTTTGGGGTTGGGCGGCACGGGGAGAGAGGGGGCAGGTGCTGTGCTCATAACCATGGGCCGGTGGGGGCAGGAGGTGCTGGGGGAGGGAAGGATTGTGAGGGAGGAGGAGGATTGGGCGGTGGCGATCGTCCACACTCTCACTCACACTCACAATCGCACACCCAGACCAGCTCAAACTCCTCTCTCTCGTCGATGTTGAGTGTGGTAGCAGCACAGGGGCGGGCAAACCAACACACTGCCATCCCCATCAACACAGGAAGCAGCAGCAGCAACGGCAGCGGGAGCAGGGCGAGCGAGCTAGCTCATCTGCTCGGGAGCACCAGCAACGACAGCAGCAGGCCTCTAGGGTTAGGGTTAGGGTTACCTGGATTATCTGGTGCCGCTGCCTCTGCTGCTGCCTCTGGTACAGCTGCTGCTGCTGCTGCTGCTGCTGCTGCTGCAGGTGTGGCACCCTCGAAATCCCCTGTCTTCATTTCAGCTGAGAGCTCTTCTATTTTCAGCAGCGGTCCTCCCAGTGGTGCTGGGGTGACTACTGGCATGGCAGGGCATGCGGGGAGGGGGCAGAGAGCGTCGGGGGGGCCTGTGGGGCTGGGAGGTATGGGGCTGGGTGCTAGGGTTGCGAGAGTGGCAGCAAGAGAATAGAGCTCTTCTATTTTCATCAGTGGTGCTCCCAGTGGTGCTGGGGTGACTACTGGCATGGCAGGGCATGCAGGGAGGGGGCAGAGAGCTTCTCCGGGGCCTGTGGGGCTGGGAGGTATGGGGCTGGGTGCCCGGGCTGCAAGGGTGGCGGCGAGAGAATAGGCGCAGGCAGGGAGTGGTGTGGCGTCGGCCGGGCCTGTGGGGCTGGGAGGCATGGGGCTGGGTGCTCGAGTTGCAAGGGTGGTGGCAAGAGAATAGACACGCCTAAGAAGCAGGGAGGGATGGGGCAGTGAGTGGCTTTTGGTCGGGCGGTTTTAAACAATTAAGCATTGTGTGCCTATTGGCTAAGGCACATGGGGCTTTCCCGCTGGGTGGTTGAGTTGCTGAGAGTTGTGTCGCAACTGAGAAGTACCGTAGACGTGAGGGTGGGTGAGCGATCTAGGGCAAGCTTTTTGGTGTGGCCAGAATCAAGATGCGGGACCAGGGTGCACAGGCCTGGGTGCCTGAGCTGCTCGACTGGGGACGAGAGGGTAGAGCACGTTCAGTCTGTTTCATTTATTTCAGTTCACTTTGATTCAGGCTGATGTACCGTCATCGCCCGGATATAAGACATATATGTCTTATCTCGTACACTAGAAAAAATGCTTGGGTTATCTTGTATTTGGGGAGGTTTTGGGTGTCTCATAAGTCTTTTACCGTAAATGGAAACTTTTTAAACTGGTACTTCGAATTTTTTTCACACATCTTGAAGAGAGTTTCTCATAATGAGTGTGGATGTTGCGAAGGTGCCACAGCCACTTCGTTCGGCAACCATTGTTCGGGAAGCCACGTCATGGAAAATGATTGCATAGGCAAATTTGGAAGAATTCGTGCATCGCAAGGGTAAAAATGTACGCGGTATTTCAAGTTTCACTATAATATATTGCAGTTTTGATTATACGACACATGTCTTATCTCGTACACACAAATAGGTGTCTTATAATGAGGCTAGCCTGTTTATAAGAGACACCCGGATAATAGACAACCCCTGTCTACTATTCAACAGTGTCTACTATCCGGGCGATGACGGTATGAGGCCCCTCTAAAATAGCTTTGCTTGCGTTATATTCATGGGGCCAAGAACATACATGCCAGTACTGTTTGAATTGGGTGATTACGGTAATATGACTGGATTATTAAGTCATAAGATGCATTGTCTTGTTGACTAAATAACATGCGAGACCAACTCCGTGCTATGCGGCTGCAATTGGGAGGTGCAAGGCACCAGAAGGATAACATAAATACAGGCTACCATTCTCAAAGAGCATGCACTGAGCATACAGGGGCAAACTGGAATGGCAACCCTCCCACTACCACCTGCTCTTGCCTCGTACCCCCACGTGAACTCCCCTGTATCCCCTGGAACCACACTCAACATCATTCCCAGCAGCAACCCTCGGCTGCCAACCTTCCAAAGCACCTATGAAGAGAACACGGATGTCCTGTCAACTCCTCCAGTGCCAGTAGCACCCCTCCCAACTCTCAACTGGCTAGTTTGAAGGTGACTATAAAGAGACGGTAGGTGAGTCCATCTTGAACACGTTCAGCACGGAGTGGAGATCAGCTTTGACAGCTGTTCCAATCCCAAACCTCAGCAGCGGCAGGAGCAGCGCCTCTCAACTGGCAAGCTTGAAGGCGTCTATAAAGAGACCGTAGGTGAACCCCATCTTGAACACGTTCAGCAGGGCGAGAGGATATGATATGAGGAGCTTTGACAGCTGACCCGACCCCAAAGCTGACTGATTCCACCTCCAGCAGCAGCAACGCTCTCAGCTGGCTAGTTTGAATGCGTCTATGAAGAGACCGTATGTGAATCCCATTTTGAACACGTTCAGCAGGGCGAGAGGAAACGACGGGCGTAACGTGGAGTAGTACGATCTGGTTACCACCTCCGTGAAAACCAGACATATCGCTGCCGCCGCCACGTCATTCACGCTCAGAGCGCCGAAGGAGAGAGAGATGGTTTGGGCGACGTAGAAACCGCCAAACAATGCGATGCCGCCGAACATGGCTCGGCGCAGCGGTCGGGCGGCAAAGTAACTGTTCACGCGCCGCTGGATTTCGAGAAGGATGTTTAACGGGCTGAGCCGAGGTAAGGAAGATGGTGGGAAGCTTCCAAACCCTTCAAACCCTGAACCCTCGTTTTCGCTCCCCCCTCCCCGCCCGCTTCCCATTCCGTTACCCCCTCCCCCTCCCGCTCCGCCCCCTCCCCCGCCACCTCCCCCGCCTCCTCCGCCGCTTCCTCCGCCTCCCGCTCCGCCTGAGCCCCGCCATTCGCCCTCAGTCCCGCTCCCGCGCTCTTCCCGCGTTTCCCTCCCTCCGCCATCGTCTGTTTCGTATCCGCTACGATCTCTCGCCCCGTTACGATCCCTCATTCCGCTGTTTCCCTTGCCCCCTCTTCCCCACCATTTGAATCCAGAGGTGACTCGAGTTGACACGTCACGGCTTGGTCTTACGCGTGGTGGTAAACCTGTGGTTCGCGGGACCGCTGCCGGCAACGAATATCGAGTCGGACTACAATGAGGAGATTCGGCTGCTGCGGGGGTGTTTCTTAAAAAAGCCGTTCCGTTATAAGCTGATGCGCTGCAATGTGCAGTGCGGTGTCTTGTACAGTGGACGACCGTACTGCTGCTGTTATCGATGAAGCCGTTTGGGGTGCAATTCGTTGCAGATAACGAGCCGGTGGACTGCAGGGAAGCGCAAACGCTATTAGCGCGTATGGGTAGATGAAGCCTGGGATTATGGCCCTGCGATGTCAAAACCCTGAATGATGACGTCATTTGGCCAGATCAGCGTCAACGGCTCACTGGTCAGCGGCGGTGACGCCTCAATTGGCAGATGATGGCAATGACAGGCAGATCAAATCTCGAAACACTCTACATGCCGAGGATAATCAACTAGTGCCCATTAAGCGTCATACTCGTGAACAGTCATGGGGACAACGGTCGCTGGTTCGCGAACGAGTGCGATCAGGTTCGGCTTCACTCGCCACAATACTATGCGCCTCCCACCTAGCGTCGGAAACTTAAAGTCAACTTTATTGTGAGCGAGGTAATTGATGGATTTCTAGCATCAAATTTGGACTACCGTACAATGGTTCGTAAATGACCAGTCCACTATGACAACAATGGCTACTATTCGAGACCAGAGGTAGACCAGTGGTGGTAGTCTTGCATGATCAGATGGTTCGACAATTTCGAGGCTGTGCGACGTACGAACACTCGCGAGCACTATTTTGTTTCCTGAGACGGCGCGCTGATTCGTCGTACCGTGTATTGCTCTCGCGGTCGAAGAAACTGGTTTCCACGTTACCATGACTTTGCAGCAGGAGCCACGTAAGCACATTGGCGGTTCTAGCTGTGAAGCCTGGATTGCGTGCTTCACGGGATGCATTCCCGCCACAAATCCACCATCCGCGATATAAAAACATCGAATAGTTTATCACCTCTTATATCCTAAGGAGCACATTTGATATTGGTTCCCCTAGAATACGGAAAATCACTTAGCTGCACCTGAATGTGGGCATCTCCATTCTTAGAAAGCGTATAAAACGTGGGGTTCGTAGTATGGAAACAATTATTGTCACCACCTGCATCATTCTCAACAAAGGTCATGATCTTACAATCAAACCACTAGTTCCAGCCCATGCTGCAGCCGCAGCATATGGCTTCCCACAAAAGTCAGTCATCTCTGATGACAAGGAGCCTATGTATCGGCTTTCGCAGAGCTTCAGTTTTGGTTGCAGGTGTCGATGTACTTGTGAAGAGCAGATGTGTTCAGGGCAGGGAATTGTGACGTCACAGACACGACAAGTTCTGCCAGCCTCCTAGTGGCTGCCTTGGAAGGGCCCTGTGGAATTTGGATAAGGTTGTAGAGTAGAAACATCACGGTTGAGTGCATGATGCTGCATCCGACGCATAACCGCGCATGCTTATTGGTGTGTTTTTGTTACTCGTGCCTCAATATTCAGCAGCGAAAAGCGTTTATTTCGTGCGCATACCTCAATATTGAGTGGCAAGACAGGGTCATGGAGAGACAGGCGGAGCAGGAACCATCCACCGAACCCAGACACCCGCGCCTGAGACACAAAGTCGCCAAACCAGAGCAGTGTGCAAGAAAAGGAATGCGACAGAGGAGACAAGCGTTCTGGCATGTAGCGGAATGCTGATGGACAAAGAAAGAAACTATTAAAAATGACTGGCAGCAGTACATTCAAACACTTAGAACACGATGTTGCTTTATTTTCCTTCTAACTAAAACCCCATGAAACGCCAATGAATGAAATGTCACTCACCAAAACCACCTTCTGGGTCATGCTATGAAGGAAACAAGAGGAGGCAAGAAAAGAAAGAAAAAAAATGCTCACGCCCTCATAATCGACAGGAGCCTTGGAAAGGGCAGCGTCACCCTCCACTGTGGCTGCGAGCGCTTCTAGAACCTTCTCCCCGTATGCACGGAACCCTCTGCAAAAGAGACAGAATGCAGGAAATGAGTGCAGTAGGAAGGGTTTTGGGCTTTAAACTGCTTGTTCATAAATATATTTACATATATATAAATATATATAATGAAGGCTAAAAAAAAAGAGGATTCCTGTTAGGCTTTCTGACGTCTCCGAAACAAAATGGCTCGCTTTACTCCAACTCACATGGGTGCCACGTCAGCATGATCCTGGTTGATTCGTAGTCGAACCTCCGTTGCCTCGTCAGCCTCCTGCAGGTCCTCTATCATGCGCGTCAGCACCGCGCTACCCTTTGCCTCTCCCTTGCCCGCTGCCGACGCCAGCTTAACAAGCAGCTTCACCTGTACAATGGGAAGGGATTGTCCTTAGGAGAAACATGACCCACCAAAGTACTATCAGGGTGACTGGTGAGTCGATGCTAAGGCGTTCTTAGGAGAAACACGGCAACATGACAACTATTGAGCCACCTCAAAACCCGACAACATGACACCAATGTACTATCAGGTGCCACCGGGACTAGTAATGGACATACCATAAGGTAGGTACCATTGTCCAGCCACAATATAACACACCACGTTGGCATCACATGTACCAACATCACAAGCACACATACCATGAGGTAAGCGCCATCATCAAGCCATCTGTTCTCCTTAAGGGCACCATGTCCGCTGGTCTCCATGGCAAGATGGCACTCCTCGCCCACCGAGTTCTGCCAACAATAAGAGCACACACCAGGACAAAGCACGGCATACATTTCTATCCATGCCCCCGTTTCCCATGATCTCCGGCACACTCAATCAGCACCGAGTCCCTCCTTAAGAACTTGGGATACATTTAAGCACGGCATACATCTCTGTCGCGTGGGTTTTTAAGATGTGATGGCACTCCTTCTGCCACTAAATTCAGGTGAGGGAGAGGTTTAAAGTATGGAGTTCGGTGCAGCATGGATTGGATTATTTAGGCGCCTAAAAAATCGTCTCAGTTCACGCAGATTTTATATGGTGAAGGAGAGGCCTAAAGCATGGGGTTCGGTGCAGCATGGATTGGATCCTAAGTCCCTTACGTTGTTCTAGTGATGGGATTGAAGAGCATGGCACTAGGTGGCATGGCATGGCATAGCATGGCATGGTCAAGGCACAGATTATGAGACTCACTAGACGGATGCCCTTGTCAATCACGTTCTTGTGGCCCCTCTTAAACTGCACGTGCTTGCCCTTTGATGTCATGCCATGGCGTGGCGTGGAAATAGATGGCATGGCATGGCATGGCATGTGCCTCGCACTCACCAGCCGGATGCCCTCGTCAATCACGTTCTTGTAGCCCCGCTTGAACCGCAGGTGCTTGCCCCCTGATGCCATGCCATGCAATGGTATGGGAGGACGTGCAAGGAGGGACAGAGGGACATGCAGGAATGATGTGCGTCTGTCCATCCCTTGCATTCAAGGTCAAGTGATGCAGAAAGAACAGATGAATGTGAGCGCATGTGAGCGCGTGTGCATGCATGTGAGCGCGTGTGCATGCATGTGAGCGCGTGTGTATGCATGTGAGCGCGTGTGTGCGTATCTGCATGCATGTGTGCATACACATGCTTCGGTTGGGCTGCTGTTACTGACCGAGCTTAGATTCAATGAATGTGGTCAGCCCATCCGATGTCACACTGTCCGTGACTATAGTGGTGCCTGGGTGCTGGGGGGAAGGGTGGTAAGAGTAGGAAGGGTGGGAAGGGGTGGGAGGGGGCAAGGTGGGGTGAAACGGAGGAGAGAAGGTGAGTTTTTTGGCCCGTCAGATGTCGCACTGTCCGTGACTGTAGTGGTGTCTGGGTGCTGGGGAAGGGTAAAGAGGGGGGACCGGGAGGGGAGGGCTGGTGGGAAAATAAAGGACGATAGAGGGAGAGTTGTGATCCCTGTGTGACCGCTGTGTGATCCCTGTGTGATCCCTGTGTGATCCCTGTGTGATCCCTGTGTGATCCCTGTGATCCCTGTGTGATCCCTGTGTGACCGCTGTGTGACCGCTGTGTGACTGCTATGTGACCTCTCATGAAAACAGCAGAGTGCTCAGCAGCACCAACCAATCTTCCCATCTCACCATCCCGTCCCACCTCCTCTCGCCCCATCTCACACCCTCACATCCCATTTCACCTCTTCTCTCCCCAACCCACCTCCTCTCAACCCATCTCACCTCGTCTCATCCCATGTTACGTCTTCTCACCCCATCTCACCTCCTCTCACCCCATCTCACCTCCTCAAGCACGATCGCCGCAATGAGAGCGATCAGACGGTTGCGGTTGATCTCCCTGCCGGAAGAATCAACGGCGGCAGCTCTGTCCACGTCAGTGTCAAAGATGATCCCAAGGTCCGCCTTCTCCCTCAGCACCGCGCCTGTGATCGCCTCCATAGCTGCCTTGTCCTCTGGGTTCGGAATGTGGTTCGGAAACAGGCCTGGCGGACGGACGTGGTTTGGGAGGGATGTAGCATAAGGTTATGTGCATGCTTTGGGGCGTCTTAGGCACATGCATACATGCACACATGCATACATGCACACATGCATACATACATGCACGAGTCAAATGACGGTGCGGACCATTCCATCATGTTGCATCATGTTGACTAATATCATCATGCTACCATGCCATCATGTATGTCATCTGACTAACGAAACATGACACACGTGATGCTGGCATGTCATCCCATACCATCGCTTGCCCCATCATAACGCGATGCACGAGAGCCAAAGCATTGGGCGCATGGAACTGATTGCCAACAGCAGTATCGGCTCCTAGAGGCCCCAGCACCCCTCCCTCATCATGCCTACATTGCCATTCTACCATTCACCCAATACATGCAATCACATGCCATCACATGCTGCATCATGCCGCACTGCACATAAACCATACCATCGGGTTCAAGGAATTGACTGCCAGTAGTGTTGGCTCCTAGAGGCTCCAGCACCCCGGCCTGGAGGATGAATACACGGATGGGAGCACACACATGCATGCATTAGGTGACACAAGGCACATTGTACTCTCAAGGCAGTGCCTCGTCAGGGTATAGGTTCAGGCAACCCTCGCGGCTCACAGTCACAGTTTCAAAAAGGTAGAACAAAACAACAAGACAAGCAAGACGAGCCGGATGAAGAGGATGAAGAACATGAGCAGGGCAACCAGGACAGAGCAAATAGACGAGGGTGGAGAACAGGGAACGAGAGAGCACGAGAGAGAGAAGCTCACAGCAAAGAAGCCTCCTGCGCCGTTACCAGCATCAACAACGATGTGGTAACCCTCCAATGGACGATCTGTAACACATGACACACACACACACACACACACACACACACACACACACACACACACACACACACACACACACACACACACACACACACACAGGAGCGCCACGTGCCAAACACATCAGCACCAATCCGCGCCGCAAAACATTGGCTGCCTCAAGAAACGAGCGTCACTTATATCGCTCCTTATGGCCTCAGTGAACTCAACCCCTGAACTCTAAGCTTTGATCCCGAAACCCACAACCATAGACCCTAAACCCTGAACCAATTGATAATCCAACTTCAAGTCACTACTTACAAGGAAAGAAACGTAACCCCAGTTTTAGCTGCCTTCCTCACAGCATCTACCAGATCTGCAGCATATCTCTTCACATAATCCACATGCACCACAGCAAGGACACAACGACACTTAAGTGATAAGGGAGAAATACACGTACCTCCAGCCTTGGCAGCCTTTCTGACAGCGTCGACCAGATACGCAGCGTATCTCTTCATATAATCCACATGCACTGTGTGATGATGAGGTAAGTCCACTGTACCCCAAATAACAACACATGTATACGTACAAATAGAACGTACCTCCAGCCTTGGCAGCCTTTCTGACAGCGTCAACCAGATCTGCAGCGTATCTCTTCATGTAGTCCACTTGCACTGTCTGCTTCTCCGCCTTCTCCTGATTGGCCTGCACGGATTCTGCTGACATGGACTCGTAGATCTGGGCGGCAGATGCCAGGATGGCCGCGATATCCGCCTTGTTGGCGCCGCCCTTTGCTGTGAAGAACTTGAGACCATTGCGGTTGAAGGGGAGGTGGCTAGCTGCGAGTTGAGGGATAGCACAAAGGGGACGAGGGAATGAGGTGGAAGGTGCGGTGGGGCTTGCAGCGTTATCTGCCTTGTTGGCCCCGCCCTTTGCTGTGAAGAACTTAAGCCCATTGCAGTTGAAGGGGAGGTGGCTGGCTGTACGGTGGGTGGCAAGAGGGATAGAAGGGGAGAGAGCAGAGAGAGGGGAATGTGAGTAGGGCATGGCAGCGATATCCGCCTTGTTGGCGCCACCCTTCGCTGTGAAGGACTTGAGCCCGTTGCGGTTGAAGGGGAGGTGGCTAGCTGAAAGTTGAAAGTACGAGGGAAAGAGGAAGAGTAAGAGGAAACATGATTAGCAGGCATATCCGCCTTGTTGGTGCCGCCCTTTCCTTTGAAGAATTTGAGATCATTGCGGTTGAAGGGGAGGTGGCTGGCTGCAGGGTGAGAGCAGAGTACAGGGAACGAGGAAGCAAAGGAGAGAGCACAAAGGAACGAGGGAATGAGAGGGAATGTGAGGTGAGAATAGCAGGGATATCAGCCTCGTTGGCGCTGCCCTTTGCTGTGAAGAACTAGAGCACATTGCAGTTGAGAGGCAGGTGGCTGGCTGTGAATGGGAAAAAAGGGGAGATGAAGACATGCAGCGCAGGGGAGGAAACATGCAAGTGGGTCTTCAGTGACCGTGCTGCTGAACATGGCTGGCGTGGCCGCCTTACCGAACCCAACCACTTTCTGAAACACATGCTTCCTGGAGGGGTGGAGCATGTAAGGCCCCCCAAACACATGCTCCAGCCCGCCAGGAAGCACACACCTGTGATCATGATGCCTCCGTCGTTGGGGCAGTGCAGGCTGGATTATTCCGAAACCGAACATGGCTGGGGAGGGGAATGCGAGACAGCCTGCCAATTCTCTCCCCTGCCATCCTCATTCCGCCCATGTCCCAACCCCGCCAGGAAGCACACACCTGTGATCATGATGCCTCCGTCGTTGGGACAGTGGAGGCTGGCATCCTCAGTGACGGTGCTGCTGAACATGGCTGGCGTGGACGCCAGGCCGAACCGAACCACCTTCACGCCCTCGCCTGCTAGCCCGCGCGCCACTGCTGCCTGTTGGTACGAGCAGGGGAAAAAACAAACGGTCAGAAACCCGACAAACTGGGCTGAACCGAACCAAACCGAACCACCTTCACGCCCTCGCCTGCAAGGCCGCGCGCCACTGCTGCCTGCAGGCACGAACACAGAGGGTAGTGGCACCCGATTTAACCCCTGGAAGCCGAACCGAAACTAACGAAACGACCGTCACGCCCTCGCCTGCCAGCCCGTGCGCCCCTGCTCCCTGCAGAGCAGGAAGAGCAGAAGGATCAGGGAGGGCTGGACATGCTCAGCTGCACATGCGCCATGCTGACTGCTTCCTTATAACTTGATTTTCCCGTGGGAGCATTTTCCCCTGAATTTCCTCCCTGAAAAGCTACAGGGGAGCGTCCTGGAGGGGTGTGGATGCGCTGCTGACACCCCTCGCGCAAACCCGCCCGTTTTCTCCTGGCTGGTTGGGGAACCAGACCTATCCATGACCTGAGGAGTCACTTTTGAAAATTCTCAAAAGTGGAGCTATGCCTGACCTGAAGGGCACCCTCCACTGCACAAAGACTTGCTCACACTGGCAACTGCACCCACCGTGATCCCATCAGCCGGCACTCTTAGCTGGATAGACACGCTCAGGTGCCTACAGGCCTTCTCCTTCTCCGCTTGTTACCACTTTCCAACTCCCTCGAAGGCACCATGCGTACTCACACTGCCAACTGCGCTCAACCTTCACGGCAACCTATGCACACTCATTGCGCTATACGTACGCAGCAGCTGCACACTCACCCTCCGTTGCACCCACCGTGATCACATCAGCCAAGTCTCTCGAGTCATGCCCAATCGACACGCTCAGCTTCCCATCAAACCCTTCCCCTTCTCCCCTGCCCATCACTGCCCGTTACACTGCCCCATTCCACCCACCGTGATCACATCAGCAGACACTCTCGAGTCATGCCCGATCGACACGCTCAGCTGCCCACAGGCCCTCTCCTTCTCCCCCGCCTGCTGCTTCTCCCTTCCCTGTTACCTTTTCCAACTACCATGAGAGCACCTTACATGCTCACACTGCCCACTCCACCCACCGTGATCACATCAGCCGACACTCTCGAGTCATGTCCGATGGACACGCTCAGCTGCCCGTCAGCCTTCTCCCCCGCCTGCTCCTTCTTCCCCTTCAAGAACCGAGCGAACGCTGCGCCTATGGCCTCTGCTGCCGGCTCCGTTAGTGTCACAGGTTCGCCCTCCACCCCCGGAATCGCCACTCCCCTTATGTCACTGCATACACATGGCAGAGGGTCAGAATAGGAGAGGGTCAGAATAGGAGAGGGTCGGAATAGGTGAAGTTTCGATCCCAAATTCTTGAGTGGCTTAAAAATTTGAGCGTGTGCTCTACAGCGGAGAACTTTGCCAAGAAAGGTTCGTTAAACTGAGGTTGAAAGGCTAAAATGTATATTCGTCCCTCTCTCTTTCAGAGTATGTTTCGTTCTGAGGCGACGCTCGTACCTTCCGTTTTGAAGCTTCTTGAAGTCGATTGCCTGGAAGAGGGTAGGTTGGCTCTCCATCGCTGTTGCTGCGTCAAGGCCAGAGCATCAGACACACGCATGCAAACCATACGGCAGTGTAGATTCAGAATCATGCGATAGGTTTCGCACGCAGAACCAACCACACCAAGAAGAAAAGAAACCGAGAAAGAGCGGAAGGAAAGGAGCGAGAGGGTGAGTGAGAGTGGACAAGGTTTTTGGGTGACGGACTGACCAAACGAAATCTGGGACGGATTGGCAGATGATGATTCCACGACAACCAGCCGCCGGCTGCGATTGGAGCAGCGTGACAGCTGGAGCGGTGTGTGACTGTAACGAGAGGTGAGTGCTTGTACGGCATTTGCGGTTAACGCGGGCTTCAAGCTCGGGAAAAGCATCGCAGCTGGATTGCTGCTGCATAGGCTGGAAGTCAGCATCGCTGCAGGACAAGGAGAGATTCGCACGCAAAGACGGACGCGGGAGATTTGCACGGAACTCAGTTCAGTTCCCCGAACGCGAACACTCGTGCTCGTGCTCGTACTCGTGCTCGCGATACGTCGAAAGAAAAAGAGGAGAACGTATCTCACCAGCCATTGTAATGGTATTTAGCGGAGAAGGCAGGTCGACTTGTGCAGGAACATGCACTTCGTCTGTCCGAAACGATGCTCGCGCGAGAGAAACGAAACGACAGCAGTGACAACCCACGACTTAAAATTACAAGTCCCGAGAGACTTATTAAACCTGTCCCTCCACAAAAACTGAGAGAAGGCAGCAGCAGAACCAGCAGGAGAATCAAATGCTGCAGCAGCAGGATGGAGTTCCCTAGAGACACCAAGAGCCAAGCGGAGTTCCCAAGGCCAGATTCAAGCTGAAGAGCCAATTCTGAATTTCACTTTATCGAATGAAATCCGAAATATCCTGTCCGTCAGCCTTTCCCTGTGGAGAAAGCTGGGACCACCAAACACCAATATCTGGCCTCCAGCCCGTCTGAAAGTCTAGAAGGCCCGCGTGGCAGAAATTGATTAGGAACTCAACGTTCGGCTGCAAGAATCGAGGATCGCTGACGTGGAAAGCTGGTCGAGAAGAGTCAATACAGACGTTTAGATGACGGAGACGACAATTGTCAGAGACGTTATCGTTAGTGCTCGTGAAATCAGCTTTTGCTGATGACGAAAGCCAATGACATTTATACCGACAGCGTTGTTCGCGCAAAAAAACATGAAAGCCCGCCAAAGAAAAATTCGATTACAGCGATGCCCATAATGATTTTGACTCAAAAAGTATTGGCGCAACAAGTTGAACAAAAATTGTTTTTTTCCAAAAGCATGAGACACACATACTTCAACACATGATAAGTTTTCTTCACACCAGTATGCAAGTTGAACATTTTTTTTTTTTTCCCAAAAGCATGTGACACACATACTTCAACACATGATTAGTTTTCTATACACCAGTATGGAATCCATGATAATCTAAGGTGGTTTGCACAACGCCGTCCCTTTGTACAGTCGGCTGTTTGTGCAGACATATCCACTATTATATTGAGCAAGCAAACGCGATGATGATTTGAAGTAGAGTGCTATGATGCGAGCGCAGGTATCACCAGTGACAACAGTATAATACGCCTTTGTAACACATTTTGAAGCACCCAGCAGAACACTCGATTGGCCACCACGAGTACAAATCTGACAGGTGGAAGAAAATGCAGGAGAAGCAGAGAGGGACAAGACCCCACAGGGAAGGAGGATGAGGAAGGAAGAAGGGGAGCACAACCAATGAGCACTCAAAGAACCTCTCTTATGACATCATCAGCAGAACACAGAAGAAGGTACGTTTTTTATTATTCCACATCCACAAACCACCTGCTGATACCATCACTCCTACACTAACCCACTTTTGCATACACCTACGTGCTGTTACCTACTCTACACCCACCTGTTGCCCAAGCAGAATCTCGTCCCCCACGTTGCAATTGCTGCCTGGATTCAGCGCATATACCATAACTCCTGGCTTTTCATTATCCACTGCCTACCTGCTGAACCCACTATCAACCTGCCTGCTTACATTTTGTGTATGCCCACCTGCTGACAGCTAGTGCAAACCCACCTGCTGCCCAGCAGACTCTGGTCCCCCACGTTGCAGTTGATGCCTGGATTCACCATAGGACTCCTGACTGGTCAGTGCCTACCTACCGCCCACCTACTGATATCCTCTCTCCACTAAGTGCTGCTGACAATTGTGTGTGCATGCCCATCTGCTGACACACAGTGTACAGCTAACCCACCTGCTGCCCCAGTAGACTCTGATCCCCCACGTTGCAGTTGATGCCTGGATTCAGCGCATAGAACTCCTGGCCGGTCAGCGGCGGCCGCGCAGACCTCATTATAGTGTCACACGTGTCTCCCTCCGCTACAGTCACATACTCCTGACACACCGGCAGGTCGGCTGTTCCCCTCACTACACACACCTGGCACATGGTCAGAGGGACGGCAAAGGAGACTAGTTTTAGTACTGAAAATTTGGCTACAGTCACATAGACCGTCCTGGAACACACACAGCCACGTCAGCTGTGCCCCTCGCCCCACACACCTGTGGCATGGAGTCCCAGACTGGAAACCAGAGCGCATGCAATGTGCTGGACGCGTTTAAATTGAAAAGGAAGAGCTGGGGGGGGAGGGGGGTGGGGGGGGAGTAGGGGAGGGGGAAGAGCAGAAAGCAGACAAAAAGCGACAGATAACACAAGTACAAGCAGAATGCAAATGGTTGCTTACCTGCGGCCCAATCAGCAGTGGCTTGTTGCATTTTATATTGCGGTTCCGCTCTTTAAGCTTATAGGCGACCTTTGAGGCGCCTCAACAGAGAGGCGGAGATGCAAGTGCCTCACCTGCTGCCCAATCTGCAGCGCCTTGTTGCATTTGAGCTCGTGGTTGCGCTCCTGCAGCTCAACCGTGGTGATGTTGAATGCTGCGGCTATGGATGCACACGTACTGGTTTGCTGTAGGTGGGGGGACAACGGAGTATAACGTGAGGTGCAGGGGAGTGGAATGCGGTACAAGGTGGCATTTGAGTCTAACTAACTGTGGTTGCGCTTCTGGAGCTCAACCGTGGTGATGTTGAACGCTGCTGCTATGGATGCACATGTATCGGATTGCTGTAGGTGGGGGAAGGAGAGTGGGAGGAAGTGGTGGGGGAGGGAGGAAATGCACGTTCAGACAGCCGTGCAGGGATGCTTGTTGCATTTGAGCTCATCATTGCGTTCCTTCGGCTAATCCGTGGTGATCATGAACACTGCTGCTATGGATGCACACGTATCGCTCTGCTGTCGGTAGGGGAAGGAAGAAGGGGGGGGAGATGTTGAGCTATCTCACCAAGCTTAACATGGCTGCCCGGATTCAACTTTTGAGATGTCTCAAAAGGAGGGGGTGAGATGTTGAGCTATCTCACCAGGCAAAACATGGCTGCCCGGATTCAAAAGATTTCCGAGGCACTTCAAAAATCACCTCAATGCACGCGGGCAGGCGGTGAGCTATCTCACCAAGCTCAACATGGCTGCCCAGGTTGAAAATCCGCCGGTGGGAGGTCAGGAAGGACGTGGCCCTGTTCCCAAGGGATTGCTTTGCAATCCTGGAGCCAGGTTTGGAGTTTCAGTAGGAAGGAAGTTGGAGGTAATATAATAGCAACTCACCTTGTCTAGCCTGCTTTTGAGTCGTCTCAAAAGCTTTGCAACCCTGGAACCAGCTTTGGAATTTCAGTAGGAAGGGACGTTTGAGTCGACTCAAAAGTCTTCCCAAGAGACTGCTTTGCAACCCTGGAACCAGGTTTGGAATTTCAGTAGGAAGGAAGTTGGAGGCAACTTTTGAGTCGACTCAAAAGTCAATCCTGGAGCCGGGTTTGGAATTCCAGAAGGAAAGGAAGTTGGAGGTAACATAGTAGCGGCTCACCTTGTCTCGCCTGACCTTGCTTGCCTTCGGTTGTAACATCATATATCATTACAAATACCATTCGAGAGAGGAAAACTTACAGAAGTGACCGTATAGGGCGTGGCACATGGGTTGGTGTCGCCAATATGGATGTCATCGCCTAGTTTGAGCTTCTTGCAGTTCAGATCCTGTATTCGGGGGAGGGGGGGGGGTGGGTGAGAAGGGGTAGGAGTGATGCGGGAGGCGGGAGGAGTCTTGTGTAACATGAACAAGATTGGGCGTGGCACTGCCGCACTGGCACATGGGTTGGTGTCGCCAATATGGATGTCATTGTCAGAGTCTATACTCAGAGGGGGTGGGTGAGAAGAGGAGGGGTAGGAGTGAGACGGGAGGAGTTTTGAGTCGACTGAGGAGTCAACTTCTGCACGAGAACCTAGGAAATAAAGAGCGAGCGGGTATGCTAATTAACTGAAGAATCGGCACAAAGTTTTAGGAAAAGTGTCCGGGGTGGGGGCAACGGCGGGAAGGGAAGGGGATGGGAGGGCGGGGAAGTGGGGGGGCGGGGTGGAATGGGAGGAGGGAAAGGAGAAAGGCATGTTTCGCGTGGAGGGGGGAGAAACGAGTTATGGCATCCTAGGTCTCTGGCTAAATTTTCTGGAAACACATTCTCACGGGGTTGAGCTGGGTGAAGCTGGTGAGGTTGATGCCATAGGTAGACATGACCAGGTCGCATGTGAGCCTATTTTTGAGGCGCCTCAAGAATCTTACCGAGTTGAGCTGCGTGAAGCTGGTGAGGTCGATGCCGTAGGTAGACATGACCAGGTCGCAAGTGAGTCGACTCAAAAATGGGAGGAGAGGAGAAAAGGAATTCTTACCGGGTTGAGCTGGGTGAAGCTGGTGAGGTTGATGCTGTAGGTAGACATCTTTTGAGGGGCCTCAAGAGTCAAAAGTCGTGGACTAGAGGGGGGGGAAACAACTTACTGGGTTGAGCTGGGTGAAGCTGGTGAGGTCGATGCCATAGGTAGACATGACCAGGTCGCATGTGAGTCGACTCAAAAACCGTACACAAGCTTTGCGGGCCAAGAGCATGGGAAGGAGAAAGGGGGGGTTCTTACCGGGTTAAGCTGGGTAAAGTTGGTGAGGGTGATGCCATAGATAGACATGACCAGGTCGCATGTGAGCCCGGGAACAACCTTGATTTCATCGGGCGTGGGGCCTGCAGAGGCAGGGAAGTGGGGAGAAAGGGGAAAATAAGGGAGGTGGAAGGGGCGGGCGGGGAGGGGGAAGAGGGCAGGTTGATGCCGTAGGTGGACATGACCAGGTCGCATGTGAGCCTGGGAACAACCTTGATCTCATCGGGCATGGGGCCTGCAATGGCAGACGAATGGGGGAGAATGGGAGAGGTGTGGTGAGAATGGGAAAATGAGGTGAAGGGGAGGGGAGGGGGAAGAGGGGAGGCTGATGCCATAGGTAGGCATCACGAGGTCAGATGTGAGCCCTGGAACAACATTGATTCACCGCGCGTGGGGCCTGTAGGAGGAGAGGCATGGGAAGCATGGGGAGGAAAGAGGGGGAGAAATGGGAAAATGGGGAGGAGGAAGGGAGGAGGAGGGGAAAAAGGGCAAGGCGGACGTCAAGAGATCACATGTGAGCCCTGGAACAACACTGATTTGTTTTGAGACGTCTCAAAAGACGTCACGAGATCACATGTGAGCCCTGGAACAACATTGATTTCACCGGGCGGGGGGCCTGCAGGAGGAGAGCGGAACGGGGGGAAGAGTGGGGGAGGAAAGAGGGCAGGCTGATGCCATAGGCGGACGTCACGAGATCACATGTGAGCCCTGGAACAACACAGATTTCACCGCGCGGGGGGCCTGCCTGGAATAGGAGAGGCAAACTTACCGAGAATGCTGGAGGGCGTGTTGTCGGGCCTGATATCAAAGAAGAAGAAGAAGAACAAAGAAGAAGCCTGGCGGGCAGATGCAGTTGTGCCTCAGTATTACCACCAACGAGCAGCAGCGGGTGGAGCCAGAAACAGAAACCCCACAGCAGCACAGTGGGAACACAACCACTATACTGGCACAGCACGTGGTGAAGGGGACCCACCAAGGATGCAGGAGGGCGTGTTGTCGGGCCGGGTATCAAAGAAGAAACCCGGCGGGCAGATGCAGTTGTAGCCCCCTCTGGCGTCGTCCAGACACGTGCCCACCTGGCAGGGGTTGACCGCGTTCAGCGAGCAGGGCTTCACTGGTGTGGGCAGGCGGGGGAGAGGAGGGAAGGGGGGGAGAGAAGGGAGGGAGGGAGTTCTGCAGCCAGGGTGTGTGAGATGCACACGTGCCCACCTGGCAGGGGTTGACCGCATTCAGCGAGCAGGGCTTCACTGGTGTGGGGGAGAGGGGAGGGGAGGCGAAGGGAGGGGGGGGGAGGAGCGGAGTGGAAAAGGGGGGAGACGTATCGGATTTAACACGTGTCCACCTGGCAGGGGTTGACAGCGCTCAAATAGCAGGGCTTCACTCATGGGAGGGAGGGGAGGGGGGGTGGAAGACAGGCAAAGGGGGTGCGAATCGGATTTAACACGTGCCTGCCCACCTGGCAGGGGTTGACTGTGTTGACACAGCAGCGCTTCACCAGCAACCGGCGGGAAGGGGGTGAGGCACTGGGCCCCCCACTGGTGCGACTTTTGAGATGGCGGGAAGGGGGTGAGGTGAGGCACCGGCCCCCCATTGCAACTGCATCTGCCTTCCGGGCCCCACTGCACGTGCAGCCCCCACTTCTCCCCTTCCGCCCCTCCCTGTCACACACCCACATGCCTACCCGCCCAACAACCCACCCACGCACCCACCCCTCCTCCCCCACACCCACCCACCCACCCACCCAACCACCTTCCCACCCATCCAACCCTCCTCCCCCACACCCAACCCAATACATACGTGGTATGCACACAGGTGATTGGTCGATATTCTTCCCCACAACGAAATTCGTCTTGCACTTGCACGTGTATCCCCCCGGGCCCCTGCCGGCACTGCACGTGCCGCTCCCGCACGGGTTCGGCACACACGGGTTGGGACCCCGGACCACAGGGTAGAGAGCGGGAGAGGTATTGATGCCACAGATGCCGTCACCTGTATGGGGTGGAGAGGGGATGATGAAGGGGAAATAGGGGAAATGTTGGACGATGGTTCGACAGCCATGTGTAGGTTAGGGGGCTGCCACGACTGTTGAGACGTCTCAAAAGGGGGCATCTAATTCGACTGCCACCGGTGGCCCAGCAGGATGCCCGGGCGTTTGGCAAGAAATAAAAGTAGACCGTGGCAATAAAAGTAGACCGTGGCAATAAAAGTAGACCGTGGAAATAGAAGTAGACCATGGCAATAAAAGTAGACCGTGGAAATAGAAGTAGACCGTGGCAATAAAAGTAGACCGCAGCAATAAAAGTAGACCGTGGCAATAAAAGTAGACCGTGGAAATAGAAGTAGACCATGGCAATAAAAGTAGACCGTGGAAATAGAAGTAGACCATGGCAATAAAAGTAGACCGTGGAAATAGAAGTAGACCATGGCAATAAAAGTAGACCGTGGCAATAAAAGTAGACCGTGGCAATAAAAGTAGACTGAGGCAATAAAAGTAGACTGTGGCAATAAAAGTAGACTGGCAATAAAAGTAGACCGTGGCAATAAAAGTAGACCGTGGAAATAAAGGTAGACCGTGGCAATAAAAGTAGACCGTGGCAATAAAAGTAGACGGTGGCAATAAAAGTAGACCGTGGAAATAAAAGTAGACCATGGCAATAAAAGTAGACTGAGGCAATAAAAGTAGACCGTGGCAATAAAAGTAGACTGTGGCAATAAAAGAAGACTGTGGCAACAAAAGTAGACCGTGGCAATAAAGGTAGACTGTGGCAGGCAACCCTTACTCTACATTCTAAGCGCATGAGAGCTCACCTGATGCAATGGCCATTTACATAAATGAAGCTGCCCACCCCCCAGGATGTTCCCCAGGTGTTTCCCAAGATAGAGTAGAGTGTGGCAAAAGCACGTGGTAACTCACCTGATGCGATGGCCATCTGCATGAATCCGTCCACCCCCCAGGTGGATCCCCAGGTGTTTTGCAAGGTAGACCATGGCAACATTTTGAATTCTACGTGCATGCATGAGACCTCACCTGATGCAATGGCCATCTGCATGAAGCCGCCCCCAGGTGGATCCCCAGGTGTTTTGCAAGGTAGACCATGGCAACATTTTGAATTCTACGTGCATGCATGAGACCTCACCTGATGCAATGGCCATCTGCATGAAGCCGCCCACCCCCCAGGTGGCTCCCCAGGTGTTTTGCGCAATGAAGTAGGGCGTCGCGCCAGACATGCTGTAGCCCACGAGCAGCACTATGTGATTCACCACCCCGTTGATAAAACAGTCCGGGTCCGCATAGATGTAGCCCTGGAGAGAGAGTGAGAGAGGGGTTGTGGGTGCAGGAGGAGGAAGATGCAGAACATTCAACAGGGCGGGATGGAGCACTGCCAGCCTGCCATGCCATGCCATGCCATGCTGTAGCCTAACACGAGCAGCACTATGTGATTCACCACACCATTGATGAAGCAATCCGGGTCAGCAAAGGTGTAAACCAACAGCCAGACCTTCCCTTCGGCACGCGCCCTCCACAACACAACCCCTCAGCCACGCACAGTGCACACACCCTCTTCCACACCCTCTTCCACACCCTCTTCCACACCCTCTTCCAAATCACTCCCTTTAACGAACAGAGCCACCCCCCCCTCCCTTCCAACTCACCCCGGCATATTCAATGAAGGAAGTCTGGTCCGCCTCTATGTTCGCAATGAGTGGCTGCGCTGCGCCTTGCCTCTGAACAACCCTACCTTGAACCTCCTCTCAAACGCAACCCCGCAACACACAGGCCCACACAAACACCCTCTCCTCCCTTCCAACTCACTCCCGTGTATTCGATGAAGGAATTATAGTCCGCCTCCACGTTTGCAATGAGTGGCTGCATTGTGCCTTGTGTCCGGGCAACCCTACATTGAACCTCCCCTTGACAGCTCAACTCACCCCGGTGTATTCGATAAAAGACGTTTGGTCCGCCTCCACGTTCGCAATGATTGGCTGCGCCTGCAGCGCGATGACCATGCCCAGCCAACCAGACACCGCCACCTGTTCAAACATGGCAACCCGGTACGGCCCCGGGACCGGCTGGGCAGCCGGGGCAGGGGGGGGCTTTTTCTTGGCCTTCTTCTTGAGTAGGCCAACAGAGGATGAGCGAGAGGAGGAGGAAATTGGTGATGATTGGAGGATGCGGGCGTGAGGAATGTGGAAGAAGGAGGTGAGGAGGGAGGTGAAGCGGGAGGAGAAGAGGGAGGATGGAGGAAGAGGGGGTAGTGGAGGAGGGTGGAGCAGTGACGATTCAAATGCGAGCTGGGAAATTCTTCTGCTTGGTTTTGCTGGGAGCCGGTTGGGAGCAACGGATGGAGGTGAAGGCGGAGGAGGAGGGGGAGGAGGAGGGCGACGGGTGGAAGGAAGAGCAGAGGGAGCGGGAGGAGCAGGAGCAAAGTGGGAATGTTGTTGCAGATGCTGGTGCAGTCGGTGCTGTGATTGTTGTAACGAGGAGTCTTGTATCGAGGCGTGGAGGTGGTCCTCTAGCGCTCGATCGAACCAGAGGTCAGGAGGGAAGGATTCTGCCAATTTCCTCCTCTGGGCGGGCTGAGGGAAGGGAGGAATCGGAATCACACACACAGCACAGAGGGAGGGGGTTGAGCAGGAGAGGCATGGAGGTGGTCCTCTAGTGCTCGATCGAACCAGAGGTCAGGAGGAAAGGATTCTGCCAATTTCCTCCTCTGGGCGGGCTGGGGGAAGGGAGGAAGAACCACGCACAGAGCACAGAGGGAGGGAGGGGGAACAGGAGAGGCATGGAGGTGGTCCTTTAGTGCTCGATCGAACCAGAGGTCAGGCGGGTGCTGTTATCAGCAAACAGGTGGGCTGCGGAGGTCTTATGTTCTCTAGTGCTCGATCGAACCAGAGGTCAGGAGGGAAGGATTCTGCCAATTTCCTCCTCTGGGCGGGCTGGGGGAAGGGAGAAGGGAGAGGAGAGGAGTGAGGGAAGAGGATAAGGGAGAGCAGGTGCTGCCAGTTTCCTCCTCTGGACGGGCTGGGGGAAGGGAGGAATCAGAATGACAAAAGACACAGAAAGAGGGGGGTGGGGTGGAGCACGAGAGGAATGGTGATGATCCTCTAGTGCTTGATCGAACCGTTGACAAGGTGGGAAGGATGTTGACAAACGCGTGCCGGTGATACGTGAGTGACTGGGTCTGTTTTTTAGTCGACTCAAAAACAGGCTCGAACCAAGGATCAGGTGGGAAGGATGTCGACAAACGCGTGCCGGTGATACGTGAGTCAGGAGAGGCAGGAGGGGTGCAAGGTTGAGTAGCATATGCCATGCATGCAGCACATTCTTAATTCTGAAAGCACCATCTGGCAGCGTGCCTTATACTACTCAACTTCTACAATCACACCCCACTCCACCCCACTCCACCCCACTCACCCCACAGCTGAATGCATCTTTGGTGCCCGTGTATGGCACTGTGTATTCCGGCAGCACACCCCCCGAGGCTGCAAACTGGAAGGCGTCAGAGGCAAGGCGTCCTCCCACACACTCCCACTTCCCACACTTAACTACCCTTACACTCCCCTCCACTCACCGGACAGCTGGATGCGTATTTTGTGCCTGTGTACGGCACAATGAATTCCGGCAGCACTCCCCCTGAGGCTGCAAACTGGAAGGCGTCGGAAGGAAGGCCCCCCACGCACTCCCAGGTGCCCTGGCAGTTGAGAATGTGCTGGCCTGAGATGTTGGGCTGGTTCGACCCGAACGCTATCGCATACGCTGCTTCGATCGCTGCCACCGGGACGAGAGCCCAACACGCAGCTGACAGGGGGGGAGAATAGAGAGGGATGAGACGGATGGGACGGATGGGAGAGATGTTGGGCTGGTTCAACCCGAACGCGATGGCGTAGGCTGCTTCGATCGCTGCCACTGGGACGAGAGCCCAACACGCAGCTGATGGGGTGGGGGAGTGGACGGGTGTGGGACAATGGGGAGAGTGGGGTAGAGAAGGAGGGATGGGGGGATGGGAAGGAATGGGGGATAGGAGGGCCCCACGACAGTCCGCTTCTGCTTGCTGACGGTCTGAGTGCGCCAGTCCACCATGCTCTTATACGTCCATGAGGGCTCAACAGGAAGACGGTCCCGCCCTATGCACTCACCGCACGTGCCCTAGTCGACGGTTGGCCTCACGACAGTCCGCTTCTGCTTGCTGACGGTCTGAGTGCGCCAGTCCACCATGCTCTTATACGTCCATGAGGGCTTTGTGGCCGTGCCGTTGTAACACAGGCTCTCCCTCTCCCCCCCCATTCACACTCACCACACGTGCCCTGGTCGACCGTGGGCCCCACGACGCTCCTCTTCTGCTTGCTGACGGTCTGAGTGCGCCAGTCCACCGCAGTCTCATACGTCCATGAGGGCTTCGTGGCCGTCCCGTTGTACCCCAGGCTCTCTCCCACCCTCTCTTTCATCTCTCCCACCCTCTCTTTCATCTCTCCCACCCTCTCTTTCATCTCTCCCACCCTCTCTTTCATCTCTCCACAAGCACTCACCGCACGTGCCCTGGTCGACCGTGGGCCCCACGACCGTCCTGTTCTGCTTGCTGACAACCTGCGTGCGCCAGTCCACCGCAGTCTTATACGTCCATGAGGGCTTTGTGGCTGTGCCGTTGTACCCCATTCACACTAACCGCACGTGCCCTCTCCCTCTCTCTCATCCCCCCATCCATACACTCACCACACGTGCCCTGGTCGACAGTAGGTCCCACGACCGTTCTGTTCTGCTTGCTGACAACCTGCGTGCGCCAGTCCACCGCAGTCTTATACGTCCATGAGGGCTTTGTGGCTGTTCCGCTGTACCCCAGGCTCACATAGCGAAAGTACTTGTTGAAATTGGTGAGCGGCTGGGGAGAGGGGAGTGGATGAGTGGGGAAAAGGGAGGTAGAGGGGAAAGGGATGGCTTTGTGGCTGTGCCATTGTAGCCGAGGCTCACGTAGCGAAAGTACTTGTTGAAATTGGTGGGCGGCTGAGGAGAGGTGTGCGGGAGAGAGAGGGAAAGACAAGTAAACAAGGAAAGGAATAGCCTGGTGGATGTGCTGTGGTATTCCAAGGAGAGGGATAGAAATAGCTTATGATCTGATATAATATTATATAAACCCGCCTAAACACTTCTCTGCCCACCTTGGTTGCGACAGCTTGATAGTCTGTATCCTTGAGGCCTGGCTTGCGCTTATCAGGATCTGTTTATACAGGGGATGGGGAAAGGAGCGAGGAAGGATGTGGTGACGACATGTTGTTCGTCTTGTAGTGGACGGGAATCTATATGGGAGGAGTGTTTATCTGCCTGCATGCACAAGTGTGTGAGAGTGTGCGTGTGGTAGGAACTCATAAATGATGGTTTTGCACAGCAGCTTAACTCTAAAAGCAGAGCTGGGGAGTGCTATAACGAGTACAAACCTTCTGGTGGGGACGGAGGGGGTGACGGCGGTGGGTTAGCCACAACACTCGAGCTGCGGGAAGGATACGTGATTCCATTCTGGGTCGCACTATACGGGTTTTATATAGTCTACTTTCAGTCGACTCGAAATTACCTTCTGGTGGGCGTGGAGGCGGCGGCGGGGGAGGATTAGCCACAACAGCCGTGCTGCAAGAGGGATATGCGATCCCACTCTGTGTTGCAATATATGGGTTATAGTCTGTATCACATTCACACGTCGGGCTGCGCGAAGTTCCGGACAAATAACACCGCCCGTGCCCGCCGCACGGCCCTGCAGCAGTGCTCGCGCCACAAAACGCCAAACAATCAGATGTGGACCTCCGCTGCTTGTCTGAGTTACCATGTGAATGTCCCAGTTCCAGAAGTTACCATGCAGTTTCCTCTCACAGACCCGTACAAAGACGGGCTGTAGGCCAGAAGTGCTGATTGGGCGAATCCCCCTTGGAGTGCATTCGGGCAGAAAGAAATTGTTCCGCTGCCCGCTGTGATCTTGACTTTGGCCGAGCCGTTGAAATAGTTTCTCTCGATGTTGTATGTGGCCTCAGAGGTGGACTGAAAGGAGGTGCTGGCAAATCCCGTGGGTGGGGGGCCTGAGAACTCGTTATTGGATATGTCACTGTGATGTGATGCAGGGAGGCAGGAGAACAAGGAAGGGGAGGGGGAGGAAAAGGAGGAGAGGGGGAAGGAAAGAGGGATGCTGTAAGTCATGTGGGGGGCCTGAGAACTCGTTATTGGATATGTCACTGTGATGTGATGCAGGCAGGACAGTGAAAAAGGAAGAAGGAAAACGTGCTGTTTGCTAAAGGAAGTTGAATGAGAGCTGATATTTTTTAGTCGACTCAAAATCTACTTATCACACTCGAGCTGGTACAAAAGAAGAGCTGGCGATTCCAATGGTTGGTTGAATGGCCTTTCATGGCCTTTCGAGCTTTCTAATGAGTGTCAGAGGAAGGAAGTCACATGCCCTGCTAGTCAAGAATTCTAGAGAAGCACTTTAGGCGAAAGCCAATTATAAATTCCGTCTTCAGGCAAGGCGCCTCAAAAGCCGGGAGCTAATTACACAATACGCCACTCGTTATTGCAACGAAAACACATGCCCAGTGATCTCCTCACCAGCTCGCTGTTGTCACATTCCCCGTACTCACAAGTACATGAGGTTGGGAAGAGCGATGACCTCTTTGGGTATGCTGCCAGACAGCCAATTCTTGCTCAGGTCGCTGGGGAAGAGGGGAGAGGGGAATGAGGAGAGTGACACGTGGCAGGGCAGGGATGGGTGGGAGGCGAGTGAAGGGTGGGAATAGCATTGGGAAAGGAGCTGACGGGGGAGAGCAATGACCTCTTTGTGTATGCTGCCAGACAGCCAATTCTCGCTCAGGTCGCTGGGGAAGAGGGAGAGGGGAATGAGGAGAGTGTGAGGTGGGATGGAAAGGGAGGGATCACGAGTGGGTGTGGATGGAATGGAAGTGGGGAAGTAGACGGAAGAGTTGTGACAACCTGTGCTGGTATGCTGCCAGACAGCCGGTTCTTTCTCAGATCGCTGGGGAAGGGGAGAGGGGAGAGGGTAATCAAGAGAGTGGCAGGTGGCAGGGGAGGGACGGGTGGGGAGTGAGGAGGAGGTCAGATTCACAATGGGGATGGAGTTGAGGGGAGAGTTGCGATGACCTCTGCCGGTATGCTGCCACGCCTATGATGGATTTGACGCTCAGAACTGAAAACGTCAAGCGTCAAAACGCCTCGCTTTGACGTTTGACGCGTCAAACCGTTTTGACGCTTGACGCTGCTAGTAAAATATTTTGGGCAGCCCGATTTCGGGAAAAAAAAAACTGTAAAAAAACAAAACGAATTCGAATTTCCGCGCCCAAGACGCGACCCGCCAAACCAACTCAACATTATGAGGCCCCAAAACAGGCCCCAACAAAACCAACTCCCAAACCACCCTCCACCCCTTTGAAACTACTCAACCCAACCTATCCCCTAGTACTTCACCACAAATCTCCTTTGGAAACCCCATTCTAGGGTTTCCAACCAGCAACCGAAAATAACATATGTACTACAACTCCTCCCTCCCCCCCCCCCCCCCCCCCCCCCTCTTACTCTCCCCCCTATTCCTGGTTTTTTTCCTGCCCGAGTATTTTTTTTCCTGGCCGCCTGCGCGTCAAACTGGGGGGGGGGGGGGGAGGGCGGACTAGGGGCGTCAAAGCGTCAAAACGCTGAGCGCGTCAAAGCCATCATAGTGCCACGCAGCCGGTTCTGGCTCAGGTCGCTGGAGGGAGAAGGTCTTTTTAGAGGAGAATCAGGAGAGAGTGGCGGGTGGCAGGGGAGGGATGTGTGGGTGGGGCGAGGCCAATGGGAAAGGATTTGATAGGGGGGGAGCAATGACCTCTGCCGGTATGCTGCCAAGCAGCCGGTTCTGGCTCATGTCGCTGGAGGGAGAAGGACCGTTTGAGAGGGGACTTAATAGAGAGTGGCAGGTGGCGGATGGCGGGTGGTGGGAGCAGGGAGGGATGGGTGGGTGTGGATAACATGCGATTGAATCATGAATCTTGATAACGTTGGGAAAGGAGATTGACGGGAGTTGACAGGGAGTACTCTGCAGGGTTTTTTTTAGAACTCTCAAAAAATCACTGCAACGATAGGGAGTACCTCTACTGTTATGCTGCTTGCCAGACAAAAGATTCTTTTGGGAGCTCTCAAAGTGACCCGAGCTTACAATGCGGGGAAGGCGGAGAGGGGAATGAGGAGGGTGGGGAAGGTAAGTAGGTATGTAGGGGTTAAAAGTTGGTGAAACCTGGGAAATAGAGTAAGAGTGTGAATCACGGTGGTGTAGGAGGTGGGAACAAGGCACAACAGGAAAGCTAGAGCTTATGAACGAATGAATCATTCTCATGTTTCTTCCCACACAGATATGCTCTCAGCTCGCTATTGTCACACGCACACAGCCTTACAGCTCGCTAATATCACATGAATCAGCTCTGATCTAACTGGAGAGCAGCTCGCTATTGTCACACGCAGACAGCCTTGCAGCTCGCTACTGTCACATGAATCAACTCCGATCTCACTAAAGAGCAGCTCGCTACTGTCACACGCACAGGGCTTCAAGGTCAGTGAGAGCTCCAAGTTCCGATGGCACCTGCCCTGAAAGGCGGTTGTCACTGAGGAGCCTGCAGAGAAAAGAAGAGAAGAGCATATTGAAAAGGGGAACGATGGTATGTGGGGGGGAGGAAGTGGGGGGAGAGAGGAGGGGGGCGGGAGGGAGGGGAGGGTTTGGTCAGGGTGTGAAGCTGAGATGGCAGAGGTCGGTGAGAGCACCGAGTTCCGACGGCACTCCCCCTGAGATGTGGCTGGCACTGAGGCACCTGCAGAGAGTGCAAGCAACGGCACACCATTGTATGAAGAAAGCCAACAGAGGGGATGGCGTGGGGAGGAAGCAATCAGAGGGTTTGGTCAGGCTGTGAATGCTGAGATGGCTGAGGGTAGTGGGAGCACGAGGTGATTTGAGTCGACTCAAGAATAACAAATTTAACGAGCACTTGCTCTTGAGATGCGTCTGTTACATCCCTTGGCCTCCCTATGCGCCCCTTTGCATCCCTTCACATCCCTTTGCATACCTCAAAAGCTCAACCACTCACAGAAATCTGAGCTTCTGCAGCTGGGAGTAGCCAGTGGGGATGGAGCCAGTGATTTCATTGCGACCCAGAGTCCTGCGAGGGGAGCAACAGACACACACGCAGAGGGTTATTCAGTCGGTGATTGTTCAGCGACTATGCTTGCATAGCTTTTGCAGCTGGGGGTAGCCAGTAGGGATGGAGCCGGTGATTTCATTGTGACCCAGAGTCCTGCGAGGAGTGCAGCAGGCACACAACGCAGGTGATTGTTCATTCGACTTGAGAATCAGTGCGGGCACATTCAGCAACTCACATTGGAGCACGAAGGGAATCGAGACTCCAACAATGCAAATTCACAAACATAAAAAAAAAAAAAAAAAAAAAAAACAACAACAACAACAAAAAACACACACCAAAAAAAAATTGTTGAGCGCGGCCAGTCCGCGACGCAGAAGTCATTTTGTTGTGACAGTACAATGGCACATGAACACTCTCCCATCTTGTGAATACGCACTCACAATCATGTTGCGCGCTCGCTTACACAATATGCATGCTGAGAGCACTCAGAGTATGTTGCGCGCTCGCTTACACAATATGCATGCTGAGAGCACTCAGAGTATGTTGCGCGCTCGCCTACACAATATGCATGCTGAGAGCACTCAGAGTATGTTGCGCGCTCGCCTACACAATATGCATGCTGAGAGCACTCAGAGTATGTTGAGCGCAGTCAGCGGGCTGAAATCGGCTGGCAGGGGCATCGTATAAGTCGACTTAAAAGTCCCCTTGTTGTCACAAACAAACAATGGCACATTATGCATGCTTTTTCGTCTTGGAGATGCGGACTCAACATACTATGCTTTTTCCCTTTGTTCTCACAGTATGTTGAGCGCTCGCTTACTCAATATGCATTCTGAGCGCACTCACAGTATGCTGAGCGCAGTCAGTGAGCCAAAACCGGCTGGTAAATCATCCTCGATTGAGTTGTCATGCAGCTTGCTGGGGGGCAGGAGAGAGAGGAGGGGTGGGGAGGGAAACGGGGGGTACGCAGGGGAGCAGGAATGAGGAAGGAAACAGGGACTCTAGGAGGGGAGGAGATGCGGGAGCTGAATCCGGCTGGTAGATCATCCTCGATTGAGTTGTCGTGTAGCTTGCTGGGGAAACGCCGGGAGGGGTGGGGTGGGGGTGGAAACCGGGGTGGAAACGGTGGGAGTGGGGGAGTGGACGGTGGGGGGGGAGGGGGAGGGATGAGGAGGGCAGTGGGGATTTTAAGATAGTCGGAACTGTGTGGACCTGTGTGGAACCGTGTGGAACTGTGAGGAACTGTGTGGAACCGTGTGGACCTGTGTGGAACCGTGTGGAACTGTGTGGAACTGTGTGGAACCGTGTGGAACTGTGTGGACCTGTGTGGAACCGTGTGGAACTGTGTGGACCTGTGTGGAACCGTGTGGACCTGTGT